GCCGGCTGCTGCCAGGGCTCCGAGCAGCCACCGCAGCCGCTCTGCCCCCCGCCCTCCTCTCCCACTTCCGAAGGTGCCCCCACAGAGGCCGGCGGGGACGCGGTCCGAGCGGGGGGCACCGCCCCCTCGCCCGCCCAGCAGCAGCATGAATGCGGCGACACGGACTGTCAGGAGCCCCCCGAAAATCCCTGCGACTGTCACAGGGATCCACCCCCTGAAACCCCAGACATCAACCAGTTGCCGCCATCCATCCTGCTCAAGGTGGGTCTGGGCGAGTGGCGCAGGGATGCGTGCTTTCCCCCAACCCCGGCCCCCACCTCGGAGGTTTTCTCTCTCCTCCCCCTAAGCGCGGAGGAGGGGGTTCCCTCATAGCCAGAGAAGTCCGAAGGGGAGAAGCCAATGGGGAAGATGCTTATGGCCTGTTTTTTTGAAGTAGAAAAACTTGGGAGTTTGGTCAATGTCTTTTAATAGCTTGGGTTTGTCACCGCAATTCAGGATTCATCTGTTACTAGATTCCCAGTGGTTTAGAAACTATTCGTAGATTTTCTGGGAAATATTTTTATCAATTGAGCAATTTACATTTACTGCTAAAGATTTTGTATATTAGTATTTGAGAGTCTTCAAACAGTACTTACCGGTTTGATAGCTGCTAGTTGATGTCAGTAACTGTGACCTTTAATTGAACATTTATTATGATCCGGCACTGTGCCTGAGCTTTATATACATAATATCTCAATCACCCAGTTAACGCTGTGAGATAGGTATTAATAACCCCACTTTATACAAGAAGACACTGATATTTCAATGCTGTGTGCCTACAGTAGTAACTCAGGCAGAAGTGGTCTGTGCTCTGTGGAGTTTAGAATCTAGTGAGGCTTGAAGAGGTTGAATGACTTGTCCAAGGTCACACACACAAAGGGGTGATTTGGGGAATTTAGGCCTGCTGGAGTTGAAAACCGTTTGGTTTATGTTACGCTTTGTTGCCTTTCTACATTTTAATTCTTACATACAGTTTGTCAGAAGGTAGAGACAAATGTATTTTTTGGGGGGAATATGGGTGAGGAGGAGACGAGGGTGTCCTATGGGAGCTTTGTCTCACTTTCAACTAAGTAAAATTTGCAATTTTGTTAATGCTAGTGAGAAATTTAAATAAGTGACAAAGTTAGTGTTATTATTACTAGCAAGTTATTTTTTCCTCATGCCCCTCCCCCTTCCTGGAACTTAATAAATATAAACCTTCTTTTTCAGTGTAGGAGATATTTAATACCAGTCAAAAATAACCTAGATAAGAATTTGGCTACTTTTATTGTTACTGATGGAACTGTCATCAGTTACAATTGTTACTCTCACAAATACACCTTTTTGATTAGAGTTTTTGCACATTTATAATCCTGTGTGTTTAGATCTGTTTTACTGTGATATCAATGTTCTTGTAAATAATATAGCAAAAGAATGGGAAAGCACAACTTTTCCTTGAGTCAAAGTGTAATGATTTAACTCTTATCGAGGTGTACTTTCTGGAGGAGTAATTTCCTCCTCTGTGTTCAGGGTGTGCTTTTAGGCCAGAGGGAGCTTTCTTGAGTTCTCTATCTCAGCAAATGACAAATATCAACAAATATTTGGTATAGAAGTTTGATTGCTGTCTTGTTATTTGGCAAGTACGACTGTTTAAAAACCAAAACAAAACCCAGGTTCTTTCTCCTTTCCACCCAAATCATCGTATCAGGAGGTAGAGAACATTTTAGTGCCAAACAAACAAAAAAACCCATGATCTCCTAATAAAGAAAATTTCTATAGAATAAATTTTGCTAGCATAGATTATCTGCTAAAAATGTTTTTCAAATTTTGCTGTGGACTGTTGAAAACTTGGTCTGAAGAACATTTGAGGATTTTACTCATCAGATTGACTCTGTTGTGTTGGAGTATTTATTTATTTATTTAAAAGGGAAGTATTCTTTTTTTTAAAAAGATTTTATTTATTTATTTGACAGAAAGCGAGAGAGGGAACACAAGCAGGGGGAGTGGGAGAGGGAGAAGCAGGCTTCCCATGGAGCAGGGACCCAATGCGGGGCTCGATCCTGTAACCCTGGGATCATGACCTGAGCCAAAGGCAGACACTTAATGACGGAGCCACTCAGGCACCCCTTGCTGGAGTATTTAGACACGTTAGGTAGATTTCCTTGTATTAGAAACTTGAATAAAGATTGTGTGTGTCTTATAGTCATGGTGGTATTCAGCATGAAATGAGTTAGACTATTGGAATGAATTGAAATTGAGGTTTTTCAGTGTTTACCAATACATTCCAACTTTTAGGAATAGGGCTTTTGATGGTAGAGGCTCTGTCAACATAGATTTTATTCATTTTTCTATCCCCTCCCCTAAGTGCAGTGGCTGGTATTTAGTAGCTCTGAGTAAATATTTATGAACAGATGAATGGCTAGGTGCTTAGGGAGTCTGGGCTGATATTCTGGGTGAATATGCCATGCCACTAAGAGAAGCCTCTTAGAAATGTTTATATCCTGCCTGAATTGTTTTTTGAGCCACAATAAAAGCCACATGATGGTGAATGGGTCCTGGCTCAATTTTTGGTGAGAATCGGAGGTGTTTGGCTTGCAGAAGAGAAGACTGGGAGCTATGATGATGTTTTTATTTTTAAATTTTATTTATTTATTTTTAAAGGATTTTATTAGAGAGAGAGAGGGGATGAGCAGGGGGAGGGGCAGAGGAAGTGGGAGAAGCAGTCTTCCCGCTGAGCAGGGAGCCCAACGCGGGACTCCATCCCAGGACCCTGAGATCATGACCTAAGCCAAAGGCAGATGTTTAACTGACTGAGCCACCCAGGCACCCTATGAGGATGTTTTTATAGTACAAGAAGAATTGTTGCATAGAGAGGTAAAAATCCATCACCTCTATTGGAAAAATTCTTAGAAAGCATGCCCTTTGTCCCTAATAATGGGTCAGTAGCCTTTATGACTGTATTGCTGTATCTTTTGTACCAGAAGTTACTGTAGTTGTAAAAAGGGGGGAGGGTGTGGAGGAGGGAGAGTTTGGAAGAGAAATGTAAGGAAATGCGATTTAAAGGTTGTTTTTAAGGAAAACTACCAACTTTTTCCAGGTAACTTCTTTTTTTCCAGGCAAAAAGCAAACAAAACAAAAACAAAACCCCAAAACAAGAAACAAAAAAAAATCCTACCTAAATTCTTTTTATGGCAGTTCATAGGGCAGATTTTTGGTTCAATATCAAAAAGATTTTCCTTTTAAATTTTATATTTATGTAACTTGCCTTAAAACATTAAAATAATGCAGGTAGGGCAAAAGTTTGCCTAGATTCACCCTTACCTTCTCATCTAGTTTCCTCTCCAGAGGTAACTAACCACTGTTACAAGTTTAGATTATTCTTCTAGAACAGCTCTGTAGAGTACAGTGGCTTAAAGTAGTTAAAATTAAATCAAATTTAAAATTCGGTTTCTCAGTCACAATAGCCACATTTCAGAGATTAGTAGTCATGTGTGACTGGCTGCTACCATACTGGACTGTGCAGATCCAGAAAATTTCTCTCACTGTAGAAAGACCTGTGTAAACCTTCATAGCTTTTTTTCATAAATGGCACCAAAATGTACATGTTGTGAATTTTTTTGTTTCGTTAGTAGTATGGTTTGGAAGTCTTTTCTTATTAGTAAGTAGTGTATATGGTTTCCTTCATTCTTTTTTTTTGGTAAAAGTTTATTTATTTAAGTAATCTCTACACCCAGCCTGGGGCTTGAACTCACAACCCTGAGATCAACAGCTGCATGCTCTACTGACTTAGCCAGCCAGGTGCCCCTTCCTTCATTCTTTTTAACTGCTGCATAGTATTCCATAGTTTTATACCATACTGTATTTTTCTGTTACTGAATGGTTCTAACTTACGGCTACTACCAACAATGCTAATAGATGTTTTCTGTGCACATATAGTCATTTTTTTAGTGTAGATTTCAAGAAAGTGGAATTTTAGGGTTGAAGAATGTGTACATTTGGAAATTTAGAAAATCCTTTCTAACAATAAGAACTGTGTAAAAACAATGAATTCTTTCTTGAAATAGTGAGCTTCACTGGAGATCATAATTTAACTTCAGAACAGGAAGAGACCTTTGAGATCTGGGTACTCCCCACTTCTTTTACATGAAAAAACAGGCCTGGAAAAGTGAAATGGCTTACCCCAAGACATTTTAGATAGTGAAAGGCAGACCTTGGTCTAGAACCCCTCTCAGTATTTGCAGGCCTAGATATCTTTTCAATATATTATGAAAGAGGGTCTCAGTAATCTTCTCTCAGAGATTTTATGAAAGAGATTTTCCTGAATTGGGGGTGGCAGGGAGGAGCTTACACCAGACAACTTCTAAACTATTATGAGTCAGAGGCTAATTTTATAATTGGGTCTGTAGGGTTGAAATGTGGTCTTTAAATATAAGAAATCTGAGAAGTAGGGAATGGCTCTTCAAAGGTCATCTATGGGAATAGCATTTTCTTAAGGACTCACGCCTGTTATAGTTGATCTTTGTTTGATGGACTGCTTTGGATCAACTAAGGTAGCTTCAGTCTTTGGTACCTGTTGCCTTTATAACTTAAAGCAAACCGCCATGTGATATCACAATTAGATTTTTATATTGTAGAGCCACTATGCAACAATTTTACCAAATGATAGCAGTGGAATACTTTTCTTTAAGTGTTACTATTTGAGTAACTGGTATTTAAGATCTGTATTTAATATTTAGAGACTTTGTGTGCTTTATGTTGAGATATCTTGCTCTCTGTCAGCAGACCTCTTTCTTTCCAGAGGAAACGAGATGAGAGGTCCAGAATCTATCACCACAATTAGAAAACTGCTGCACCATGCGTGCACCTCTGATAATGTGTTAGCAGGTATTAAATCTTGATTTTTACAGCTTTATTGCCAACAGGTTCCTTTAGTTATCAAGAAAGAATTTTGTAAGAGAAATGTACTTTGGGGGAAGGCTTATTTTCTTGATCTGTTTGTTTTTTTAAAATATGAAAATAAGGTTGAAAGCAATGGAAATGGGAGTCAAAGAAAAAAGTAATACTGCTTTTTAAAGCTTTGAATGTAGATTACTAGTAGGTAAGAGGAACTAAGTTTTATGTAGCATTTCATGAATGCTTGACTTAAGGACTCCAGTACCAGATAACCTCTAGAAGGTATATCTCTGTAATTCTAGGGATGAGTTTAGTCAACTCTGAAATGGAATGTTGTTAGTTAGTCAGGT